ACTACATAATTTTAGTTTTAGATATTTAATGTATTTTCTGATAATATTAAGTAATACATAATAAATAGACTTTGTGTATAAATATTATACCTAAAATTAGACAAAAATATATACATAGCACAGATTTCAAGATGATTACCTAAAGCCCACACATTATGAGGTCGAACCCGTTACCTCAGTGACGGCAATACCTTGAAACTGGCCTGCGAAATACTCGGCTACGGAGTTTTTAAATATAATAATTCGTGAGAGTAGCTTTTATTATACAAAATAGAAAAGTCAATTAAACCTTTTACACCAGCGTATTTAAAACTGCTCAATGAATACTATTAATAGTAGGCGATGTTTACCGCGTCACCATTTTGTTTGTTCTGGCTCTGTTTGATTTGGTCCTCACTCGAAGGCCCTGCAAATCACGACCAATGTAACCTGAGCTCCCGGACGATTCAGCTTTATCCGCTTCGTCTTATCTTTGATAAAGTCAAGGGCTAGTCGGAGCTCTACTTTAGCGGGTCAGACGGTAATGGAAATCGCTTTACGTAAACTATGTTTTATTCATGGGGTCATGCTTGGGTGCGAATAACTGGCTAATTATTAAGGTGTTCGCTTGTGAGATTTGAGGTCCGTTCTAGTATTAACTTTGACCATAGTCACGTGTCGTTGTCACCTTAAGAGAGCGTGAACAATAAAAATTAATAAATTTTTAATTGGTTTAAAAAACGAACTCTTTATATTGATATACATATTTGACACGGCTGTTATTAAGTTTCCTTTTAGTAGGTCTTTATATCAAACAAGCTATTTTCCTGCGACTTCACCCGCGTAAATTATAGCCTGTGTCACCGGCGTATAATATTGAGTATAGTTTCGGAGTTTAATTAAAGCTAACAAACAAACAATCATTTTTTTTATAATATTTTCTCCTGTTGTTACTTTCTCCTCGTTTTAATAAAACTTCAAAGGGATAATTCTGACTATTGCTTTTATGTTACGCTAAAATATATTTTAATAATTTTCTTTATAGTCTTCAATTTAGTCGTCGGTTTAATAGAAAATGTTTTGTTTACTTAAACGCCTTTAACACTAGATTGTCCGAACATTTTGTATACGTACAACGTCTGTGAACTATCAATTTAAGTACCTAAAATTTTCGTTTTAACTACTGAGAGTCATTTAATATTTAAGCGTAAATATAATAATGAAAATACTTTTAGATCATAGCTATATTTAAAATAAATAAAACTAAGTCTATTATAAGGGCAGTCCTTTTATTGATTATTAAGGAGTTCGTTTGTGAGAATTGAGGTTATTTCAGGTGTTAATTATGACCATAGTTGTGCGTGACACCTCAGGGACATTCCATAAATTTCAATACGTCACATTTTAGGGGGGGGGGGGTTGGAAAAATTGTGAATTAAGAAAAATATTTAATAGCATTTGTATATAAAACCATACAGCCCGAAATTAATTTATATACATTATTCTTACAAAAAATATTATGGTGACATCATTGTTTCAGGCCAGGCCAGGACAAAGTAAATGATTTCATAATTAAAATTAAAAACGTTTTCCAGTAAAATCCATAGTTTCTTTCTTCTCGTAAACGAGTGCCTTTGCAAACGAGAGATGGGGTCTCCAAAGGGTAGGTCCCAACAGTTTGCGGTGCTTATCAAGTTACCAACTTAAACTTCACATACACAGTTAACGAGTGATGTTATTTTTAACAAACTCCTAAGTAGCATAAACGTCGACGCAGATGTGAGAATTTCGCTGTTGTTTCGTAATAACGATTTGAATAAAATGTCGATTGTTTAGGTGTTTTTGGATAATGTTCTTTCGACATTTGCTAATGACAAAAGACTTTGTCTGTAAACGTTTTAAGTAGAGGTTCAAGTCTCATAAGTTTATAAATTAAACTTTGTCAAATGTTTTGCTAATATTTCGGTACTCACCAATTTTACGTCACTGCACACAATAATAATAGGTACAAAGAAGAAAAAGACAGTCAGTCATTTACCTAAAACGTTAACATACAATCATTAGTAGATCGGGTTATAGTGAGTTCTACTAGGTTACTGTATTTTTCCCATCGATGGTGTTGAGAATCTTAAAATATAATGATAATCAAGGTTGACATTTAATATTAATCAGGCCTGTATTTTTAGAAACGACTAAGTAGACAGCAAAAAATATTCGATTCCCTAAATGGCGTATTAGCTTTAGTTAAACGACATAGTTTCAAATTTGACAATTGCTTATTGTCTAGTCTGATTTTAATTCGAATGGAAGTTTTATCTTTGATATGAATAGAGTTTAAAGTTCTGAAATACTTTTTGGTTGAAATTTAGATACTTACTTTTTCGTCGTATGATGCTTATCATCCAGCGTATAAAGCATGAAAGGAAGTACTATAACATTATACGATAAAAATACTTATAATTAAATTACAAAATAAATAAATATTATTTACTCGATTGTACCAGCGAGGCAGTTAGGTTTTTCGAGTGGTCTGGGGATCGTAAAACTATCGTTTTCTTTACTTTTAGGTCTTTTCATTATTCCAGAATATATTTCTAAGTCGTCCACTTGACAGTTATTAATGATCACCGAATATAGAGCATTGTGCTTTTGCCATATACTATCAAAAAGTAGTCATTGAAAAATCCTGTATCGGTCACTGTCAGACAGATCGTAGAAAAAACACCTAATACTCGCAACTCTGTTATCCATATGCTGTACTTGTTTAGTTCTCAATTTTATATTAATAAATAGTATACGTAGTGGTAGATACATCTCCCTGAAAATAATTTAATATGGCTACACGATTCAACATTTAAATAGCACTGTAGGAATATCTGACAGCATTAAATGTCAGCGTTTTTCCTTTACCCCTTTTGGGTTAGGGCCGTGATAAGACGTCGACCTTTCAGATGCCCCTGGATATCGAGATTATCCGTATCTATTTCACATTACCATTTAATAAAAGTAATAATTTTACTTGAAATTTTTTCTAAGTACTTAATCTGGATTTAAAGTTCAATAAATAAAGAATCGATAAATTCAAGTATTGAAATTGAAAATCTATATTTACTACGAGTAATATTATAAAAAGGAAAGATTTGATAGTTGGTTTGTTTTTTGCATTGAATAGGCTACGAAATTATTGGACATATTTTAAAATTACTTTCACCTAAGGGGATCTACGTCCTGCTCGGGTGACATAGGCTATAAGTTATGCGGGTGAAGTCGCTGGCAAACAGCTAGTATTATTATTTAAATATGAACTTCAATAAAATTTTTTTTCCAATATTTAGGAAGACTTTAAATTCATAGAAAATGTTTATCATATTCGAAAGCATACAAACAATTTTCTTGTCCATGACGTTAAATAAAAATTTGTCATCACTTGCTCAAAACACTGGGACGATTAGTTAATTAATCAATTAGAATATTAAATGAAAAACTTGATTTATGATTTTATTTCTTAAGTGCTTTTTAAAATATTCATAAGAATATTAGAAATAATCGTACTGTGCGACAAAGGCAGACGTTGCTGATAATTGTTCTGAAATATTAATTTCCTGGAAAGGAGGAGGAAGAGTGTCATTAGAGAGTATCTTTATTTAGGGGAACGGCGGGTTACGTAATACTGAGACTCTGGACAGTGTCCGCCACTATGCCATGTAGATCGTCCAAATAAGCTGTTCTCAAAGTTTTCGAAGCAGTTTTGAAGCTCGATAAAGGTTAAAAGGCCGATTCCCGTTCGGCTCAACATAGAAAATAAACTTCTTTGTAGTACTTTCGTTGTCTCAAATACTCCATATTATGAGAGATTACACCTGGTTTCTGAATTGAGAATTTAAAGTTAAGAACGTCTCAAACTGTACTTAGATGTCTTATGTTTTACTTAAACAGGTTTTCGTTTCTCATTTTAGTTTCAGAACTCGGCTAATAGCTACTGAATATGTTTGAATTTTTAAAATTTACCTTACCTTCATTCCTTTTTTTTTAGTACGGAAATAAAATTGTTAGAATTAATTGTGATTTGCTTTGATCCTCGTGTGAATAAGAAAATATAATAAGTTAACTTTAAAATATTGTTTACGATTGTAAAATTACTGAAATGTAACTTTAAAATATTAGCAAGTAATCATATTAGATACATTAAATATTACCTAGGAGATGTATTGTTAAAATATTTTATTAGTTATTTGATTTATTATTACTATCTAAATAAAAATTTATTTGCAAGGTACAGGTTTCTGTAATCATCTACTTTATATTATTATATTATCTTTAAGAGGAGAGCGGGATCCGATTGCTTTGTATTTTTCACCATCTCGGGGTTACGTTAAGGGAATATGCCAATCCCCAAATAAAATTTCATAAATATTTTTGATATATTCACGGTCAGGCCTTTTATACTTTGCCCGCGTGGCTTATCTGGATTATCTCGGGATTCGGCACGGATTTTTTTTAACTTGTTCCCGTTTGTGCGACCGCTTATTGCGTTTTATCTGGGCGTGATTTGCGCCGCCCTGTCTGCAAATATGTTTAGCGTGCCCTAAATATCCCTTAAATTTATGCCTCTTGTTTGACCAGAAATTGAGAGCCAGCAAAAGCGGCCCAAAGAAATTTCTCTTTAGCGAAATTCTTATTCCCCTATTTCTCTTATCGCCGATGACGTCAAATAAGTTTTAATTAAACTTACACAAAGCCATCCTTTTACGGGCACGTATCGTTTAGTCTTATGTGTGTCCTTTATCGGTTCTTCTGTTTCAAAATGTATTCGTTTCATTCGTTCAGATTGTATGTTATCTTTCCAATTACCATGAGAGCTTCGAATTTATTTTATTTTCTTCTATTGGCGAGTGGCAGACGACTTGCACGCCTTATTAAGCTTTTACGCAGATTATGGATTCTGAAAAAGATTGATTTGGGTAATTTGATTAAAATATATTGTACTGCTTGTATAATAATTTTGTTTTGTTTCTTTTCAGGTAACGTTGGAATGCCACAGTGCTCGAGAGTTTCCGAGACTCGGTTATCGTGATAGTGTGTTACAATTAGTGTGTTCAGGCGTTCAGGTTCTTTTGCGACCAATGAGGTTCTGTGTGTGAGTAGTGAGCGTTGTTGTCATGGTGGCATCATGGCGCGCGCTGGCGCTGCTGTGCGCGCTGGTGGCGTGCGCCGCGCTGCCGGAGACTATATACCACAATCAGTTTGCGGTGCACGTGCCTGCCGGTTCAGAACACGTAGATGACATTGCGAGAAGGCATGGCTTCTTTAACCATGGACAGGTAATTGATATATTAACACAAATAAAATATATTAATATTAAAAATGACTAATTGTAGCCTTTGTTTTATGGAGTAACTGAGGTAATATAGAAAAAGTTATTTTCTCCATCGACTCGACTGGGTTTTGAACTAGATCGACAAACATATAATTGACCAATAGCAATATTAAACGGACAACCTGATAGACAGTCACTTTAGTACTTCTTTCAAATATAGGCTTTGAAATCCTGTTTAATTTATAACTAACATTTATTTAACAAAAGCATGTTACAGAATCTAATTACACAATGCAATTTATCTCGAAATACAAAAACACCAAGTGATTTATTTTGGTTACCACGCTAAAATATCCCGTGATACAATTGGTAAACAATGCGGATGGAATAATTGTATGAGAGCTTTCTTTATTTTTCAAAGGTATCAATTCCTAATGAAATTATAACGCTAACAATTCCACGTTGTGTATTTTCGTTTGAAAGTATTATTGAATTTATCATTGGCGATGCAACGACTCTCATGTAATTGAGCTTGTTAGCTTTGACTGTAAATATTTGTGAAGATTTAATTAATGCCTTGGAGTTTTCTTGAAGCTTTTATTTGGGGACCGTCCCGCCCGAATGAATTAAAGGAGAGTTTAATGCATTAACGTTGATTTGCAAATTTTCGAGGACGGTACTGTTTTTTGGATAACTTTAAATTGCTGAGTTTTTATTTTATGTCGGTGTTACTCCAGAAGCATTCGAACTTCTTGGTAACTAACGTTGGAGTTGCTAATCAGTAACATACCATGGTATAAAAGAAATAATAAAAAGGTAATAAATATTGAAACACGTTATCGATTTAAAATCACCTTTTTTTCGTTCCTTGTTGTAATTCTAATTATTTATACCCTTTTTATAAGAAATATTTATAAATATGTTAGTTACTTTACTTTGTAGCTGGGGCTAATATGCGTAAGTTTTACAATAATCGCAACAGTTTACGATCGAACAGATATGAGTAGGTTGGTGGCGTAGTGGATAGCGACCCGCGATCGTTGTTATTAAGCAACTTTCGCAAGCTTGGTCACGGGATAGTGACCAATAAATTAAGCCGTTGGTCCCGGCTGAATTTGCAGTCTTTAATACCTTTCACTCCGCGTTGGGCTATCGTGCAGGGACATGGCCAATCCTCCATAACCAAGGCAGGCCTGAGCCACTGCTGTGGGGACATAAAAGGGCTAATGATGATTATGATCTGTAGTTAACGGTTAATTCACACAATATCACATTGCCATGTTAGTTCTAAGCTTACTCTTGAATCATGTTATCTAGGTATAAATGAATTCACTTTATGAAATGCATTCAATTTCATTGGAGTATTTCATCTTAATTACGTAAGATCTAGCTAATCTCTATTGTTTGAACCGTTCATTGCTAAAATCCTTAGATAGTTTACCTTGGAGATGTCTAGACAAAGTATCAAATTTCCCAGGAGACCAAGCGTATTTAAGTCTATAGACTTATGACGACTAAGTCATACCAATTAACTGTATAGCTAACATTAAGCATAGCAGAAATACTTCTGCTTAAATTGAGTGAAAAAATTCAGTATCAAAATTTTCTTAAAGATAAGACCTTTATCTATTCTCATGAATTCAAGCTTGAATAAATGAAGTCTTTTATACTCGTACATTGATTAATTTATATTCTAGATAAATACTTAAAAATTGGATCGACTCAGATGTTGGAGAGTGAAATCGAACTTTGTAACCACTAACTTACTGATTGAACTTTATGCTATCAGAAAACATTTCTCTTTTAAGTTAGTGAGGTATAAAATATTTATGTAATCAACCTATGTAGCAACCGAGGTTTCTTACAGCTGTTAGTAAGACATATTTCTATACGTACGAGCATTTTGTTTTTTATAAAATGTGTTCCTATTATCATATATTTTGCGATTAACTTTCTTTATTTTATCCTATGTGAAACTTAAGTGTATTTTAATGTGTGTTATTTTGGAAGGTGTCGGCAATATGACGAATAATCGCAGCCAACACTGTTCCTACACATTATGAGTTGTTTGCTCCCTTCGTTCGTGAAGACGCGCATGCATCGGCCAATTTACGTCCGTCAATATTATCTTTACAAACACATGTCGCCGGGGAAAGATGAATTTGTTTTTGCATCAGTTAGCCTTAAATGTTATTTGGATGCGAAAGAAAAATATCGTATGTTTTATGCGTCAATTGCTTAACGCGTTAGGAGACGAATGGATGTTATAGCTGCTCCTGGAGGCAGGGTGATCTGTTGGTTTAATGTGTAGGAGTACAGTTATGTCGTTAGATTCTTAACAAAAAATTTTTGGTGTGGATCCTAGCGATACGCTTTGGAAAGACATTTCTGTTTCAGTAAACAATAAAAAGTAAAGATAGATTCTGTATCAAAATATCGACCTGTCAAAACATGTCTGATCAATAATTTACATCAATAGAAATATTTTCATTTGAAATTCATCTGGATTATAACGGTATTTCATGAAGTATCACTTTACTGAATCTATTTTACCTATAAACTTTAAAATCTTTTGTGGGGTAGACGAAAAATACAAGTGCCATATACGTCTTTTGATTCCTTGACATTTAAAACTCTTTGCTCGTTCGCTCGCCAGTTTTTACATAAAATATAATAAGCTTTCCTGCGCTCTCTCAAGCATTGCACATTTTCGTCCTGTTTGGGGAATTTAACTCTAAGGTTGCTGAGTTTTCCCTCAGCCCGCAGAAGGATTCCCGCAGGGGGAAAATATTGAAGCGTAAGCCGATGATTCGTTGACTATAATTTGCCAAACAAAAAAACTGCCAGTGCTGCGGAGAGAAATAACGTATTTGTATATTTACTTTAATGAGATTTAGCTGACTACAGCGTAGTCGTGATGAGTTCATTTCAAATAATGTCTAGTTTAGAAGTTTGTTCTGTGTGAGTTGTGCATTGTTGCTGGTCTCGGTAAATTTTAGAGTTCGGGTGTGCCATCGCGTCGCTCGCCCTCGTTTTATTTGGACAGACAAAGACTTATTATTTCAGTGTGCAAAATATGTTAGTCGAAAATTAATGTATTATTTAAATTTCATTTTTTTCGTTACTTACAAATTAATTGTGTGGATTATAAATGAGCCAGAAGCCAGTGACTGATATTTTATATGGTATTTATTACTCGTTAGTATTTTTCTTGAGATAATGTTATGAATTAAAAAATCCCTGGAAGTAATAATTATTACTAGTAGTGAAAGTATTGTGTAATGCGATAGTGTTGCTTGGTCTCCGGTAGGTTAGTTATTATTTTCGTTAAGTATTTATCAAAGTATAAAGGAAGTATTTATTAAGGAAGTAAATTAACCCTTAATTTTCCCTTATTTGTCAGCCAGATAACTTGCAAATGGAACAATTCGGCAATGAAGACGCCGTTTTCGGAACAAAAATGTAATCTCGAGTCTTGAGCATCCGAGAGGGCATCAAACGTAACCTAATAAAGCCCGACCTGTTTCTTCGAGCTTTTTTTCTGGTGTGCGAGTAATTTTTTTTTTCTATCTTGGAACAGGCAGTGGCCTAGTTTCTTAACGTCTACATCGGTCACACTTCTGGCTTGGCTGACTTTTTTGTACCTTACCCTAATGCCATCGACTTTTTAACTGTCTTTCAGAATAAGGACGAGATTCTTAATACATTTTTTTTTGTAAATATGTTTGTGCCGTGGACTGATTCCGACGATTCTTGTTTGAGATACTGCGTAACTCGATTGACACAACTTTCAATACTGTATTGAATTCGGAGTGCATTTGATTTAATACATTTGATTTAACACACACTGTTAATATCAATACAGGATTGACAATTATATGGCATATTTTTGATTGAATCTGGTGTCGGTCAAATTTTCCTTCAATCCGCACTGGGTTCGCGCGCAAAGTTCCACGAAAAATTGCTTAGTAGATGATCAAGAATTCAAGACCTTCAAGAAATCATATAACCCTGATATAATATTAATGAGAGATTAAGTTATTCAACATAATAAGATTTTAGATTTAAGCTCGTATTTTCCGGAATAATCGCGGCTCAATCCCGAGGCATGTTGGGTAAATACTGAGACTGCTCAAACACTCGACAGCCGCCATTGTAGGCGAGTGTAGCCAAACATCCACCATGCTTTTGACTAAGCCTGAGCCGTGTCTGACACGTAAGTGCTTACGCTACGTGCCGAGCCACAGACTAGTGTTGTAACTAACTATAATACAATATAAGGAACTATAATACAAAGGAACTATAATATAATACAAAAACTCGATATAAGGAACTATAATACAAATTGTTAGCTAATCAGGGTTTTCTTAATAATGTGCGGGCTTACAATGTTTGGCTGACCCCCTAACTGCAATCAACTCAGAAGCAGATCCTTGCTATTCATTATTTACTTTTTCATTCTAGTTTTATCATTTTTTCCATACTTTAACAGCTGGATTCGCTGCCTACTCTAATTGCCGCTTAGGGTTGTTGCTTATCTGAGGGAAGATGCTTTTCGGTTATAGAATGTCAGAACTGGTATTTAACCAACTACTCTCGATGGATTATCTGACGAGTATACCATTGTGAGACACTACGGAACTTCTATGAGATTTGCATCTATCCTTATATTATAGCTGCCTGTTTACACGTGTCACATGTTTTTAAGAAGATTGTCAAAAATGCTTTTTTGCATTGCATATTTTTGAGTTGTGTTAATATTGCTATTTGTTGACCAATAAGTAACCACATCATTTTTGATATTTTATTACAGCTGGTCGTTTTACTAATAAGTTATTGAGAACGAGATATTGTCATTTTTATCGATGGATTTGTTTCTAGTCTTTGCTTTGTATTTTTTTCTGATACATCAATTTAAATCTGGATGGTACTATACAACACTAACCGGAGCTTACGTGGTATAACACAACGGGTCTAGTTGACATCTTACCTCTAACACACTAC